ATTTCCTGAAGGACAACAGCTCGCTTTTCCCGGAATTCGCCATATCTCCCTCCAGCTTTTCTGGCTCGACTTGAGACCCGGCCGTTTTTATTTTCCTCCTGTCTGCTCGTCAATCGCTTTCCCTCTCCTTCCCGGGATTACTGCCCCTCCCCCGCCCCCAGGACGGTCTTAGCTTGGCTCCTAAATTTCCTTTGTCCCCTTTCATCTCCTTCCCTTTCCTGATTTTTTCCCCTCTGAGGTCTCCTTGCCACCACTGTGGCCTTCCGACTAAAGCAGAATGAAGGATCGGCCTTCCTTCATTTTGTGGCCATGACTGTGGCATAAATGAAGTGAAGGGCATTTTCCTGGCCTTTTCTCTCGAAAAATACGCGGTACCTGTTAACCCCTCCAGCTCAGTGCAGGTGCGGTGCCAAACGTCTCAGCTACTTGAGAGATTCGCCGAGAGATGGGTCTTTTCCCGCAGGGGAAGGAAAGCTAACACTTCCTCAAGATTACTCCCAAGAAAGTGCTCATGGCTGGTCTGAGGGTCTGCGGTCTGAATCAGCAAGTTTCTCAGAGTGTTTTAAATATTTCATGAAATCCTTTTGAAACTGAATTTTATCACAGCTGAATTTCCAAAAGAAAATCTGAGTGTTTTCTTATGAGTAGAGACAATGCAGTGACGTTTTAAAACAGTTAAATAATTGGAGGGGTGAGGGAAGCTAAATTGTTAGGCTCTTAAAGCTAAGTACGAGCAGAGAATTAATCTAGGTATATTCGATTAAAAATAGTAAGATCATGAAATACGGATTTCAGGGGTTCACACAGTGACTGGATTAATCCTGGGGCATTTTTGTTAATAATGCTACCTTATTTCCCGTGTCTTCTTTTTGGTCTTTTTAATATACTTTTGCAAGCAAAAGACCAGCTTCATCTTTAGACCCAGTTCTCTTATTTCTACCACAGACCTGATCTTTGATTTGTCAGTTGAGTACGTGTATTAATACTCCTGAAATGTGTCTGAATATAGTATTTCTGAATGTTTTGGAGCATAAAAAAGATCATTTATCATTGTTCTTAGTGGCTTTCAATATTTCAAATGCAGAAAATTCTACTGAAGTAGATTATCAGTTCATATGGTAGTCTGACCTGGAAAAGTGACTAGTATAAATCTATCCTAAAGTAAATGGACTTTTTTTTTTTGACTGTTTATTAAGTAGAGGCATGATTCTTTTTCTGTGGCTTCTAATTTTTGTGTGCTTATCAGGGAGCTACAAACTTGCTCATGGTCTGTTGGTCTCCTCGTTATTGACCTTTATCATGAAAGTTGTCAAAACAAAATGAGTAACAGTGGAGCACTTCAGCTCTTTACTCTGGTGTTTCTTTCTCCTTTTAAATTTACAGTTTCTCAGTGGTTTTGTGTGCGTTATATTTGGAAAAAACGGGTTAGTATTGAATTCAGTTGCTGAATGGAGGGGACCTTGATTTTATCTTCTGATCTTAATAATTAGAGGTTGGAAAGTAAACAGTTATGACTGTTGTTAAATTACTAAGCTTTTGATTCCAGGCTAAGGTTAGCTGCTCACGATTATATTGCTGTTTAGCTTACTTCACATGGTAGTTTGAACCTTCTAAAATTCACTAAATGAAATTTATCCATTGATCTTCATGTGAGTTTAAAACTTCATGTGTTTTAACATTTTCCTGTCCAGATGAAGAAAATGTTTTGACATATTCCTGTCAAAATCTTTTCTACTTGGTAAGGTGTTTGTTTATTTATGTGTGTGTAATTTTTTTTCTAGTAAGGATTCCCTCTTTCTAGTGGGTAAGTGTGTTATCTAGGGCTAGAATCTGGTAAAAAGAGTCTAGAATAAAAGATTGCTTTTAAAACTCATCTGGCATTTCTTTTATGTTTCCAAAAATCTTGATTATGCTAGTAGTTAGCTAATCAAAGCCTTTGCTCCCGTAGTTTGCTGGTTGACAATTAGGACATTCCTCTGGGATACGAGTTACATATAGGGAATGTCAGATGTTCTTCATTGTGCTTACTTGCTTTCACTTATTGCTGACTTGTGTGCCCTTGTAATTCTCTGTCCTGTTTACCAGTTACACACTTCCCACGTCATCATGATTTCTTTTGTAGGAGGAGAACTGAATGAAATTCCCTTAAGGGCCTGACTCCTCAGCAGCCCGCCTCTGCAGGGGATAGTGGCTCATACTTCCTCCCAGGAGCTAAGGTTATTGCCTCTTACTATTACTGCCTACGGAGCCTAGATCCTGTGCAGCAGGACTTAAATGAAACACTTCTTTAAGGGGATGCTATTTCTCTATGTATTTTACTCCCTAGCCCCCACCGTCCTGTTAAGGAAAAAAAAATCTACTTAGTGAGGGAAAAAAAAATCCTTGTGAATTTGGTAAGTCAAAGGCCAAATTGGCATTTGCTCTTTATAAATAGTTTTCCCAAGCATCTGTGTGTTTTTCCTGTAGACCACCATGGCGTCTGGCAGCACCGCCAGTGAGGAGGAGCGAAGCCTCCGGGAATGTGAGCTCTATGTCCAGAAGCACAACATTCAGGCGCTGCTCAAGGATTCTATCGTGCAGTTGTGCACTGCCCGGCCTGAGAGACCCATGGCATTCCTCAGGGAATACTTTGAGAGGCTGGAGAAGGTAAAAAATAAATGGGGGGAGAAGATGAGATGACCCTGACAATGATTAAATGTAATGCTGTAGAAAGCTGCTGAGTTGTATCATTTGGAAGAAAAGAAATTCTGACCAAATAAGAAGTCTGTAGTAGAACTTCAAAAGGGAAATGTAGTTACGGCATTTGTAGTAATTTTTAACTTTGTAATCAGTAGATGTTATCAAAACAAATCTGTGTGCTTAATTTCCTTAGCTAACAGGATTTCGAGATGTAGTTTCTTGTAACTGTTTTAATTAATACGTAAAACTGACTAAATAAAATAACTGACAAGATCAGAAGTAGTACAGCAGTTATGTGAAGTGAGAAATTTAATGCATTAAAGCATTTAATGCTTTTCTGTTCAACAAAACAAGTAAACTTAAAAGCTTTACTCCACCTTTTGAAATCGTAGTAAACACTTGAGTCTAGGTTGTGACATTTATCAGAAACTGAATTAGTGAAGTGTGTTTTACTGTAGACTATGTCTCCGATGAACTGACTATAGAGGAGAGAGATCAAGATTGATGGTTGTCAGAATTTTGCTTTATTTACAGGTTTGGTCAGGATTTGTTTTCTCTTAAAAAAATTAATCCAGTTCTTGGGCTTTGTTGTTCGTCCTCATTACGTGTGTGTTGATGGGGACCTAAGCATGTGGTGTATGCTTTTCTAAGCGAAATGGTAATTGATCATCAAGGACAACCCTTCAGTTCACTTCCCTCAAAAAAAGGATGAGTGAGAACATTTGGATCGTTAATTGTTTTGAGTAGTTTGATTTGCTTCTGAAATTCAGCAAGATAAATTCACAGCTTTTTTTTAAATGTGTATTGACGTTTTAATATGGTTCATAATGATTGTGAACCAGTTGGGAGGCATTTTCTTAGTTATTTGGTTTTTAATTGTCTTATTGTATTATAGAAGTACTGGTAAAATACCCCACGGGTTTGGACAGTTTCTTTTCTTTTCTTTTTTTTTTTAAATTTTTTCCCTGCTAGTTTTATTGAGGTATAATTGACATACAGCACTGTATTGGGGGGTGATAATTAGGTTTTATTTACTCGTTTATTTTCAAAGGAGATGCTGGGGATTGAACCCAGGACCCTGTGCTTGCTAGGCATACAGTCTACCTCTGCGCCGTCTCCTCCCCAGGACAGTTTCTTAATCAGCATAATTTATTAGTAAAAGAACCTTTTTATACTGATGTTTAAAAAAATGTTTGGGTGCCCCAGTGATAGGGTATTTTCTACTGATTTTTTGAAAAACTGTTTGTTAAAATTGGTGTCTGGTATCATGATTAGAATAATGAGAACAGCAACAAAAGCAACTGACCAGTCTCTGTGAATGTAGCCTTGCTGTCTCAGAATTGTGGTAGAAAGTTTGGTTTTTTCCTGTTTAAGCAGTTTTCTAATAGTGAAACACTGTAGAGCCAGGCTGCTGTGGGTCTTCCCTGTTTTGAAGTAAAGTGCGTTCCTGGAGATCTGGTTCTGAAATGGGTCACTGTAAGGTGATCCCTCTTCTCTTTGGACATCAATAGAAACCATCCGATGAGAGGATGGAGTTGGTGAGACATTAAGTGTGTGTCTTTTTATAGGGAGTGTTGCGTGCATGGTGCTCATTTCAGAGTTTATACTCTCACGGCCATGTTTCAGCACTAACCAAGAGAAAACAAGAAATTAATCATTAAAGTAGTTTCTTTGCACATGAAATCTTTTGAGTTAAGGTATGCTGGCTTCTTTACCTCTTAATAAAAGTTACAGCTTAACACCGTGATTCCTGTAATTCAAGGATCTTTGTTCGCTTGCACAGTTCCTTTAGTCAGAGTTGAATATCCATATTTGGCCTTGAAGTAACTAGATTGTCAGCTTTTCAACAGGTCATTGTTCTATACATTAGGTGTTAGGTTCTGTGTCTGAAAATACAGTCACATTCTTGTCACCTCTCTCTGTGTCAACCGGGGGTCATGTTTCTCGTACCCTCAACTGGTCAATAAAAATGTACCAAAAAGTCTCATAGATGGTCCGTTGAAAGCGTCTGCATTTTACTTCAGACTGTTATTTATAATTCAAACCTTTTTAAATGTCATATATTTAGTAGAACCTTGCCTCTCTGATAGAGGAATTTTAATAGCTCCAACTATGGAGTGTTTCCTGTGTGCCAGGTACTCTGTGAGCACTTTACATGCACACATTTCTCCGTATTTTCAGTATGTGTGGTTGGTGATTATTACCATTTTACAGAGGTAGCATGTGAAACCAAGAGAAACCAAGTTAACTTGGCTGTGGTCATACAGGGCAGTAGCTTTTGCTGCAGCATACATTGCCCAGATGTCAGTGGTTTACTGCAGAAGCCCTCATCTCTTGGTCATATGCAGCTCTTCTGGGCTCGGCCCATCTTCCCTTCTGGGCTCCATGTTTTGTTCTGGGGCTGAGTGGAAGGAGTAGTCATTATAGAGGTGTGCTGTTCTCAAGGCAGAGGGAGATCAGATGCCCCTGGGGCCAGAACCAAACCTTACAGGCACACGCCCATGTGCGTTCCATGGCTGAAACAAGCCATGTGCCAAGCCCCGAGTCAGTGGGGTGGGAAGTTTACCTCACCTGTGGAGAAAAGTGGAATGGCCAGGGTAGGGAGGGAACAAATAGCAATTGTTGAAAACATGTTAAGTAAGTGGTGGGGACAGAATCTGAATGTAATACTCTAGAACATGGTGACAGTAGGTAGACTAGGAAAGGTTCTTTTGTTTTTGTTTTAATAAGTGGGAGAACTGACAAGGGAGGAGACTGACCGAAGAATGACAACAGCAAGAAGGAGGATATAAAAATGTATCATGACACACAGTAGAAATCGATGATCTCAGTGATGGCTCTGAGTCTTGACAGGTAGGTTCTGTCTGGTTGCTGTTAAAGACGAGAATCCATGAAACAGTGTTGAAGTCAAAATGCTTTTGGTACTTCAAAATTATCTTTAAAAGTCAGATAGAAGACAGTTCCAAATGAGATGTAGTTGTGAAATTTTTCATGAAATTTTTGTGAAATATATCTGACAAATTTTGGGGTTGGAATTTGTGTTTTCATTTATACTCTTAAACTTTGAGGAGACTTGTGTTTTAGAGTTCTCAGTTAATATGAAATGGGAAAACCTTACCAGTTAGTTATTGGAATTACCAGAATGAAAATGAAGTGAGTTTTATTAAAATGTGTATTTTTTTTTAAAAATTGGTTACATATTTGCACAGGGTTCAAAATTCTGTAGGTAGAAAAGGGTATAACAACAAAGTCTTTTTCCTCACTTCCTTGAATGCAGCTCCTGTTCCATAGACAATATATGGGCCTTTACAAATTCATATATGAAAGAGCTTTCTGTTCTTCTCCAACGTGTGTATGGTATTCCATTGTGTGGATATACTACAATTTACTTAATCACCACGTTGGCGACCATTTGGTTGTTCTCAGTGTTTTACTGTTAAACCAGTGATATAGTAAATAACTTGGTAGATCTGTCATTTCACATACATGCATATTTTAGAGTAAATTCCTGGCAGTAGAATTACTGGATTATTTGGTCAACAAGTAATTGCATTTGTAACTAACTATACAACTATATTGAAGTTATTTTTGTTATAGGCTTTTCTTACTGTGTTTTTAATTGGAAATTAGAAACTCTAGAGAAATGAGAAAAATGAAGTTGCCTCCTTCCTCCAAAAAAATAAAAACCAGGCATGACGTTACTAATAGAATAAACACTGTTAATAATAACTGGTTGTGGTTCTAGGCTTTTCATGCTGCATGTGCATGTTCTTTTATTTGCCTTGCTGCCAGATGCAGAGCTGAGTACCAGGCAGGAGAGAGAGTAGTCGTCTCCTTAATTTCTTTTTTATCAAAAAATTTTCAGAAATAATTAGTAAATGCTAAGTTCATTTAGAATTTGAAAGATGGTTTAGAAAAATAATGGAGAATGAGTCAGATGAATGAGAAAGTAGTAGATAATACATTCTTAGCTTTTTAAAATTCTGATTTTATGTCAGGCATAACTCATTCTTTACTGCAGACCTGAGAGGAGTTTCTTTTTAAGGCCCTAGATCTGAAAAATAAGAGTGTTTAAAATAGTTCATCAGTTTTATGCAGATTGGTTTACTAGGAAGTTTTTTAAAGCAGGTAAACTTTTCTTGTTTTAACTTCAAGTGTAAACCCTGATAATAAAGAATGCTTCTAGCTCTGTTAAGGAGAAGTATTGTTACATTTGATCTTATTTAAATTCTTGGTTAGTATCACATCATTTCATTGTCTTTATCTGAGACTCCAGCTAGAATATGAATTCCACGGGCTCATGACTCTCTCTGGTTTTTATATTCCCCTTGCCTAGCGTAGACTTGGCGTGGCAGATCCGGAGAATACTTACTGAATTAATGGAACAAACCAGTAATCTAGACATTCTTGTATCGCTTTGCTGTGCCGAGTGTTTATTCCCAGATGACATTCTTGGGAGTAGGATGGGGCAGGGATCTCAACGCTGATTTCCCAGGAGTTTGTCTTGCAGTTTATTGCTGTTGTGTGCGTTATAAATCATTGTTGATATATTATTATAATGAATACCCAGTTTTTTATTTGCATGTTATTGTCCTCGTACCAGTGGCTTTTGTTCATTAATAAGTATAGCATCTGTCATCATCGGAGAAACAGTACAGTCCTTTCAGAATATTTCTTTACAGACTTGACTATTTTTTTCCCATTTGTAATTGGCCTTTTTCCCCTTAACTTTCACCTTGGTAATAGAGGAAGGGATTTGAAGTGACTGAGAAGGACTGTCACTGGAATGTGAGACTACCAGCTTTATATGCTGAAGGTTATAAAGTCACAATTTTTTTCAGGAGGAGGCAAAACAGATCCAGAATCTGCAGAAAGCGAGCAGCCGTGCGGACTCGAGGGAGGATGAAATCTCTCCTCCTCCCCCCAACCCCGTGGTAAAGGGCCGCAGGCGACGAGGTGCTATCAGCGCTGAGGTCTACACGGAGGAAGATGCTGCGTCATACGTCAGAAAGGTGCTTTGGATAGCTGAACGTTGAAATGTTTTCGAGACCCACGTGCTAGTCATTCAGTCTCCTTTGATGAAGACGTGCACTCTTGAATAGTAAAACACAGGCAGGGTAGATTGTACTGCATCCTGTGTGGTTCCTGGGCACTGGGGAACAGGTTTCTTCAATAGCATGCCATTAAAGGAAATAATTAATAGTAATTATAAAACAGTGAATAATTGCATTTTGGGGGTTTGATGGTGTTTTGCAGTAGAAGAGCAGGCACTACTCTGTTTCCCCTTGAATCATGGTGTCAGTTTTTTTTAACATCCTGTAATTCATGTTGTGGCTTTTAATCTTTTATCCTGTGAGCTTCGTTCATCTCAATTGGCTCTTCCTTAGAGCCAGTCTGCCATTTTGAGGTACGCTGTTAGCCTGAACAGGGAAGAGAATTGTGCTGGCAAGAAGTTGTGAAACTAGTAGCACATGATCAGTTTAAAAAATGACTAGTTGTCATAAAATGCTTAGTTTTGCCTCAGTAATGACTCGGGGCAAGGTGTTTTTTGTTTGTTGTTTTTTTAAGTTGAGGTGTAGTCAGTTCACAGTGTTGTGTCAGTGCCAAGGTGTTTTGACCTGTGTCTTTAGTTGTTGACTAGGAACCAAGTACCAGCCTTTAAATACAGGCCTGGTTGTAGCCAAAGGGATTAATTAGTCAATATATGTTGAGTGTTTGTGGATCAAAGATAGTGTAAGAGTGTTGTGTTGAAAATATTTAAATACCATAATGAACTTGACATTTAATTGAATAATAGGTTGCAGACATGAAATGGTCTTGGTTTATGGAATTGTCATTTGACTTTCTATTTTTTTCTTAGGTTATACCAAAAGATTATAAGACAATGGCTGCTTTAGCTAAAGCCATTGAAAAGAATGTGCTGTTTTCACATCTTGATGATAACGAGAGAAGGTAGGTACAGATTCTTTGTTACACTGCTTTTCTAGTACAGCTGCAGTCCGTAACTAGTAACTAGTCATAACTAGTCTCATGGTCACAGATTTTAAGGCTCTTAACAGTCGTTTACCTGATGACAGTCCAGGCTGAAAATCTGGGGGCTTTAATTCTAAGGTTAATGTTGGAAGTCCATAGGAAAGGCACATAAAATGTAACACAAGGCCCTCTCTCCCTTGCAGTGATATTTTTGATGCCATGTTTCCGGTTTCCTTTATTGCTGGAGAGACTGTTATTCAGCAAGGTAAAGGTCGATGCTTTTACGACACACAGTATTATTACTGACTCTTGCTTTCCTCTTTAAGCCTACCATTTCCCTTCTGTTATACTATTGGACTTTCCTATTTCTTTTCTTAATTAAAGTCTTCTGAGCTAAAAGGCACATTTTGTCTAAGGGACTAATAGTTCCCAAAGCATCTGATACAGTTTTGTTTATAGTAACTGTTAAAGGAAATTCATGCGTTTTTGCTTTGTATGGAGTTTGAGAACCACGTGTGTTTCATACATCCTTCTTATTGATGGTTAACCACTTAGTAAAATAAAGCAGGAAACAATCAGAGCGCTCCCACTCTTCATCGTGTGGCTTCTCTCTTCGTAAGGTTCCTTGCTGTCTCCTGAGTCTTGACCGTTTGGCCACATGCTAACGTGGGTCTCATCTTTTGGATCTCTCCCCTTTTTTCCTTTCTGATTTACTCTTGGTATTTTCATGGGTCTTCGTGATCTGTATGTCTTCTTGTTTAGTGACTATCTGATATTTTGTTACTTAACTATTTGAGTTGTTTCTGGTTTTGTCGTTGTTACAGATGATGTAGCGTTTAATATCTTTGTACACACAGTGCTTTTTTAAGTCATTTTTCAGAGATATTCTTGACCACGAGATGACGAAAACTTGATCAGTTTTATGACTTTGAAATATATTGCTGGACTTTTTTTTCCTGAAAGATTCTGTTAATTTGTAATATACTCTTTTCTCCCACAGCACCTTAGTAAGTTTATTATTTTACGTTAATTTGGTAGGGTTTTCTTTGTTTTTGTTTTTGTTTTTGTTTTTGGATCTGTTTGCTGGGGAGGTAATTAGGTTTATTTATTGATTGATTAATGGTGGTACTGGGGATTGATATCCAGGACCTTGTGCATGCTAAACACATGCTCTACCATTGAATTATATCCTCCCCCCTATTTTGGTAATTTTGATTTGTGCTTTTTAATTGATAATATGCTCCTAATTTTTTTATTCTCCTCATTTTTAGGTGATGAAGGGGATAACTTCTATGTGATTGATCAAGGAGAGATGGATGTAAGATTTAATTATAGCAAAAATATGTTGATAATCTTAAAAGTCAACTTGTTAATATTTATTGCTAAGAGTTTCTGAAGGGCTATTATAGCCCATGTATGTTAAATTCCTTTTGCCAAATATTGTAATGACACAGAAACTTCTTACAGGTAATTTCTTTAGCTAGACATACAGTTCAGAACTTTTTCTAGAGTAGTTGAGGCACGTGTATGCTGTGGAGCAGGCCAAGTGTAAGGGAGAGTCTGGATTGATCTGGTAATGAGCTGTGAGACTTGGTAAGGTCTTCTTAAATCTCTAAGTCATGTTGCTTTCTTAAGATTATTAGAAAACTCAGTGCCCTGTGCAAGTAAAATGCCTATTAAGATAGTTAAACCAGGTAATCATAGACACTCTGAACTTACTTAACTCATTGTCAGAAATCAGCCATTTTGCTCTGCTGTATACCGAAAACATAACATACTCTTGTTTTTTAAAACAAAGTTCAGGATTCGGACCTCTTAAAAATGTTTGTGGGTTTTTCAAACTTATGTGTTTTGTATGTAGAAAAAACCAGTTTGTTTGTATTTTAGGTCTATGTCAACAATGAATGGGCAACCAGTGTTGGGGAAGGAGGGAGCTTTGGGGAACTTGCTTTGATTTATGGAACACCTAGAGCAGCCACTGTCAAGGCAAAGACAAATGTGAAATTGTGGGGTATCGACCGAGACAGCTATAGAAGAATCCTTATGGTAAGACACCATGGTTTTTGGAGTGTGATTTACAATCGAGTGTATGTAACTAACGCTTGAGTAATAGCACCAAGTTAAAGTGAGAATATTTTTTACTTTCAGTGATTGAATGCTTTACATTAAGCTCAGCGTAGCATTATTCATTGTACCTGGTTATCAGTAATGCAGATTTCACATTCCCTTCTCATTAAGGGAATAAACAAAGTAATAAAACCATTGGAACATTCTGCAGACTTTTTGCGAACTTTGTGACATTTATGGAGTAGCTTGAGTATTTAAGTCCCAGCTAATGACAGGAATCATCCTGAATGACTTTCTTAGGTTTGTATAGTACCTATCTGGCTATTTTACAATGTGCAGTTGGATATGTTTAGAAAATTTTCTGTATTGAGGGGATGGAAATATATACATTATATGTATATTTGTGTGTAATAAATAGAAATGATAATATATGTAAATATATGTTATATATGTATTTTAAGTGTATAAATATATAAATTGCAAGATAGTTTACTGTGAACAGAATGTTATAGAGGAACTGTGTGTTTCCCCTTGATATATTTAACAAACCTTGCAGATAAGAAATTTTGGTTTAGTTTGGGGTATAGCACTCTTGTCAGGGATGGCGGGGATGTTGTTTATATGGTAGCAGTTTTATTTCCTTATTTCTGTGGAGGATTGGGATTGTGGGAAAGAACCCTGGGCTGGAAAAATATTTAGCTCTAGTCACACATATTATTTGCTTTTTTTTTTTGAGAACTGATTATTTGCTTATTTGATACTTCAGTAAATTGGTGAATATTTTGGCCATATACCTGGTGATCCTTTTAGTAGAAAGTTACTAAAAGGTTTTTATTGAACCGAGTAGAGGGCTTGCCATCTTCGGCACGAAGGAGAACAATCATGTGTCAAGAAGCAGCAGCAGCAAGCTTTGACTTCTCTGTTGTTAATTTGCTTGAAACTTAATATTTCTTATTCCACAGCGTTATGTGAATCACACATTTTAGAGATACGATTTTTAAATTTTTTTCGTTTACAGGGAAGCACGCTGAGAAAGCGGAAGATGTATGAGGAGTTCCTTAGTAAAGTGTCTATTTTAGGTGAGTTTTGGAAGATTGCGTGGAGAGTTGTTAAATTGAAGTGTTCATGATGCTTAAGGAGAACCCATTATGTTTCATAAAGACTGCGCCAGTTATCAACTTGCTCACTCTTTTTTTTTTGCTAATACTAATGGTAATGAAAAACACATGGAATGCAAAGTTGATGTTTGACTAAGAAGTCATTTTAAAGTGTGTTTAATTGGCTAGTATATGAGAAAACTCTTAAATAGAAATTACTAGATTTGGAGAAAGGTTTCTGGAATTACATGTCCTGGAGAGACAGAAAGGCTAAAAGTGTCCTCCTCCTGACTGTAGACATTCACAGTTCTTCCCTGTGACTTCTGAATTGAATCTCTTGCTCCATCAGTGAGTTTATTGATTCAAGAAAGTGAGTATTTCCAGGAATGCGTTTCCTCTGTAGGAAGATGAGGTATCATTTGCTGGCTTTCTCTGAAAATGTACTAGAAGTTTATGGAAATCTAGAGTAAAGCAGGGTGGTTGTAGATATTTCTATATATTTAGTTATGTGGACTTAGAGACATTATTACAAGCTGTTCTTCATTGGGAGAGGATATGGTGATTTTTCAAAGGTAATAGTCTTCAGCCATTGCTTTGTTACAGTGAATTGACTTTTTTTGCCCTTATTTGTCCTTTCTCTGAAATAATTACATTTACTTAGTGTCTTGGGTGTTAGGTTGGCCTTTGGGAACAAAAGTTGTTTTCTAGTTACTCTTGTTGGTTTCATAAATTCAGCTGAGGAGATAAATAGATACATTATTTCTGTGAATCTCTGGAATGGCATAGTTGCTGACACTGTTACTTTTAGGTCCTGTAATTGTGGGTTTGATTTCTATCGATGGCAGTTTTTAGGAATACTTAATGATGGCATTCGTTTTATTCTTTTGCCATTGGATTTAGTTGGTATAAATTAACTTGGCCACCGTGCTACTGAAGGAAGGCTCTAAGGGCCACCCGTAAGTAAGAGGAGGATCTCTCTGAAACGAGAGGCATTTGAAGGCAGGTGCCGTGTTTAATCTGAGCCATTACTAGACAGTTAAATTGGCATGGCTGTTTGGTTGACTTCTTTAAAAATTTCTAGCAGCACCAAATAATGTAGACAAATTCTTCCAATTCTTTCCTTATAGAATCTCTGGACAAGTGGGAACGTCTCACAGTAGCTGATGCATTGGAACCGGTCCAGTTTGAAGATGGGCAGAAGATTGTGGTGCAGGGAGAACCAGGGGATGAGTTCTTCATTATTTTAGAGGTAAACAGCTCTGCAGTTGATGGTACGGCAGAAGCGAGAAAACAGGGAATACCGATTCTGCTTTATGGCTTTAGTTTTTAAGATCACCTGACAGTTCTATTTAAAAATTGTCATTCACTTTGAAATGCATTTGTTTGGTTTTCTGCCAGGCCACCACGTTTTACATGAGTTTGAGGCGGAATTCTGGAAGGGCTATCCCTGAGGTAATAGCCAAATTGTGACTGGCTTAGATGAGTCCTCATCACGCAAGCCAGACAGAGCCCAGCCATTTAGCGTGACAGACTGTTACGTGTGCTGCACCATCCTCGTTAAAATCACGCATTTGGGCTATTGGACAAACAAGGATCAAAGTCCAGTATTTAAATTCTAAAGGTTACTAGGTTTTCTATCTTCATGATCCATGGAAATGTACAGCAGATACCTTTGCTGGCCAAGGAGCGCCACATAGCAGAGTTTGTATGAATGTGGCTCAGTGGATGCTAATGGTGTTGTTTAAACCAGGGGTCGAGGGACTCTTTCTGTAAAGGGCCAGATGGTAAGTAATTTAGGCTTCTGTGAGCTGTAGTGTTTCTGTTGCAGACTCACCTCTGTTGTCATAGTGGGAAAGCAGCCATAGGCAGTGTGTAACTGAATTGGTGTGTTGTTCCTATAAAGTTTTATTTATTAAAAAAAAAGCTGTGACCTTGGATTCGGCCCTCCGGCCGCAGTTTGCTAACCTTTAGGCACCTCAGCTTGGTGAGGGGCCCCCCGGCGGGGGCTGCTGAGTGAACAGGCATGAAGCCCACGTAGTGCCTCTCTGCAGGTGTGCTCTGTCGCACAGACGCTGACTTGCAGTAACTGCTGAGTCCTTTTTGTTTGTTTTCATTTCTGAAAAGTAGCTAAAATTGCATAGGATGTTTAACATACCAGCCTGGATTTGAAAGTGTTCATGTATTTTGCTTTTCGGTGGCTTCATCCCAGGGCTCAGCGGCTGTGCTGCAGCGTCGTTCAGAAAATGAAGAATTTGTTGAAGTGGGAAGATTGGGGCCTTCTGATTATTTTGGTATGTGGATTTCCTCATCCTAAACATATAATTTCTTCTCTCAATGAGGTATCAGTCTTTCATAATCTTGTTTTTTCTTGAATTTTATTATTTTTTTTTTAGTTTCCTCGCTCTGAGAGAAATAGTGTGAGATTTTGATCTTTACTCAGTTAATAATTAAGTTACTGATTGTCTCATGTCTACCAGTTGTTCAAGTGCAGATGTGGTGTGGCTGGTACTAGGTTATAAGGAGAAGTAAATGCTGTTCTTTTCCCCTCAAAGCGTGCCTGCGAGAAAGCGGCCCTCCGTGGAAGTTAGCCTGCTCTTAACCGCGCCTTTCCTTTCTCCAGGTGAAATCGCACTGCTGATGAATCGTCCCCGTGCGGCCACCGTGGTGGCTCGTGGCCCCTTGAAGTGCGTTAAGCTGGACCGACCTAGATTTGAACGTGTTCTTGGCCCGTGCTCAGATATCCTCAAACGAAACATCCAGCAGTACAACAGTTTTGTGTCACTGTCTGTCTGAAATCTGCCTCCTGTGCCTCCCTCCTCGCCTCCCCCCAGTCCACGCTTCACTCGTGCAGACTGCTTTCTGTTCCCTCTGCAGCGCCACGTGGCCGCTGGCATCGCAGCTTCTTGTCGGTTTCTATTAAAAGTTGCTTTTATTGCACTGTTTTTATTTCGGAGCACTAACCAAATGCTCGTACACAGTTAAATAAATAGAAAGAGTTCTCTGGAGACTTTGCTGTTACTGCTTCTCTTTGTGCAGTGTTAGTGTTCCACATGGCAGCGCGTGCCATGCTTCCTGGTGAGGGCAGATCCCTGCACCAAATGAATTACCATAGTCATGATGTAACAGTGCAAGATTTTTTTTTAAAGTGACGTAATTTTCCTGTTATCGTAGGCATATTTTAGATTGTGGCCATATATGCTGTATTTCTTATAGAATAAATGATTTCTCATTAAGCTCTGAGGATTAGGAAAAACAGAAGTAGAAGAATCTTAGTACAGTAGAAAGGCACCTGCCTGTATTTAAACTAGTTTTAAGGGTGGAGAAATGCCCATTTTTGCTAGTGATCAGATTCATCTGATCTGTTCAGTTTTTTTTTTCTTTTTAACAATTTTGATTTGTCAAGCTAATTTACCTGGTTTTGTTTATATCTTGTTATTAATGTTTCCTCTCCACTTCTCTGACTATACCTGCCTTTTGAGTTTGAAACCAAATCATAGGCTGCAAATATTGGGTTATGATTTAATTATGTCTGCCTCAGCTCACAAATTCTGATCAGACCTTTATTTATCCACCTAGTGCCAAATACTGACCATCAGATGCTGAATGGAGGATAAGAATTTGAGGTCTGCACTCTTGGTTGTTAACTTAGAGATTTTGGTTAATGTATATCCTTCAGTTGATTCCAGGATAATAATCTCTTGTGCTCCTTAAACACTGATCCCAGGAGGTTGGACTTGCTGGGAAGAGACAGACTAGATGGAACAAATGTTGTAGCAGGAAAACGGAGGTGGTTCTGCTAGGGGGAGACATGCCAGGTGGCCAGCGTTCCACGCTGGGAACTTTGCCCCATCACATTCACTGGGGCATGAGATTTGGAAAGAGGCGTTTTACTTTGGCTTAACTTCCCTCCTTTTTACATCAACTAGAATTGATGGTGGTTTAGAGGTGGGGTAGGATGTGTCTGTTTCAAATTGGTCTAAAAGGCAATCCTGCTGAGAAGTTCTGCTTTTCATTTTATTTCTCTACCAAACTTTTTTGTGTAAACTTGTGTTTTGAGTCTTAACTGTATTTCAGTATTTTCCAGCCTTATCAATCTTAACGTGTTGTTACATTATTCCATGTGCACCAATAAACCGAACTGTTTATTTTTATTATTGTCATTTTTTAAACAAAATTTCACAGTTCCGTAATGTAGGCACTTGCATTTACATTGTGATTTATATAGGTAGGGTTATACTGGGAGTGACTGCAAGCATTTTCCATCTGTGCAACTAGCTGTGATTATTAATCCCCTCTCCTTCCCCATCTCCTGGTAATTTAAATTGACCATGGTAGATTTTTTTTTTCATAGATTTGAATGGTTTTTAGGTTGTTATTAAGTTAGGAGTATAAATCTGGGAAAGAGGTTTTATTTACATTCTAGTGTGGGATAGAAAGCCACCTTACTACAAATTTTTTATTTTTCAATATATTAAGTGAGGATTTTCTGATCTGTTTCGTGTTTAGCCACTTTTTTATATTTAAAATATAAAAAATAGAAATTAATGTGCTTATTAGCTTAAAGCTTGATTTGATCTTTGTTAAAATGCCAAAATTGTACTTAACTCAACTTAGAATACCATCAATTTGTACAATTTCATGTATGTATATAACCATGTTCATGTATAGATACATACGATGCTTCTACATGTGCTTTGCTCTTAAATCATTGGCTTGCTGTTTACTCCCTTTTGTAGTTTTTAATCTATGAAAATTTAAGTCAGAATTTAAAAATGATCACATTTAAAGCTTTATCTTTGTGCAATCTGAGTGTATGCGGCAAATCACCACTGGCATGATGTGTCTCAGTTGACATTCAGGGCTTTTGCAGCCATTTCTGGGCTCGGTGAGTGAATTTATGAGATCCTGCTGTAGGGAGCATAGGTGGCCAAAGGACCGTTTTGTACTGTTTCCTGGTTACTAGTCGGATTATACTGCGTGTGCTAATACACTCTTCTTTTTGTTGTAGATTGTCTTAACCGTAGGTCAAGTAATAAAAAAAGATTAAATAATTTAATTCTTTAATGAATCAGTTTTTCTTCCCTTTCTCCTTCCCTTCTCTTCTCCCTCCCCTTCCCCAGAAACTCCGAATCTGGTGGGCCAGGAAAGTGAATTAGTGGGTCAGGGTTCTGAAAGAGTAATGTTTATTTTCAGTGGTTCCAATCCAGTTTGTCAAAGAATGAATCTAAAAGCCTTACTTAAAGGGTAATTGAGATGTAGCAGACCTGTTTCCTGAGTAATGGAAGGGAAAGATTAAATCAAGAGCCAAAGATTTCTTTTTTATTGAAGACAGACTGGTTCTCTGGCCTTGAATCTTTTCCAGCCTTAACGGGGAAATACCGTTTCTAGATCAGCATAGTTTTGGTTCAAGTTTAACATTTGCGTTCAGATATTTAGGTATGCTTCTATATTTTGCACATATAAAGTCATTTCTGATACAATTATTCTTCAAATTTCTGAGGCATGGGATGATTACGTTGTATTCATTAGTGTATTGCAGTTAATTTCTTTATATCCAGTGAAGTTGGAGATAATTCTACCACTTTATAACACATGCACTTTGTCCAGATTCAGTAATCCCCTCCCTCAAGCCACTGGAGTTGGAACATTTTGAGTCACAACAGAATATAACTAAAATTTTTCCTGGGTTGACTGTACTGGTGGTTTAATTTTCCCTCTAAAACACTGGCTCATATGAAATCACTTTTTGTTTTTTAATGACTTAAGTATTGGCATTTTAAAATTGAAGTAGTATAATGTTAGTTTTCTTAATACCGCTTTACCTCCAGCCGCAAAGTAATGGCTGAACCCTTTTTGTATTTCTGTATTTTCTGGCAGTGTATTCCTAGATGAGCTAATAAAGCAACATTGAGAAGTAATATCTAGATCACCATTTAACGTGGCCCCCAAGTAGCCATCCTAATAGCTACCAGTAGAGACTGTAGAGAGAAAAATAGAAAAGGGAGAATCTTAAATCTCTCCCTTCTTACCTTATGGAGCTTTCACATAGAAATCGGTATTGCTGTGTACATACAAAGTTAAAATTTGTGTGTTGACATATGATCCGAGCTGTGACTTCTTCCTGACCCTTACCTAAAACCGAAACCACTAATGAGGATAATTTTTCATTTTGCTGAAAGTTCTGCCAATTAATTTAGCTTAAGTAGCTTTGTGGTTTTCAAAGTCACCACTAGATGGAGAACATTTTTTTTAGTCATCTTTGTTGATCTTCAAGATGAATTACAGTTGATCCACATTATTCATGGATCTTGCATTTGTCAATGTTGCAAATTTGCTAAAATTCGTAACCCTAAGATCAGCAGCCACAGCACTTTCACAGTCATTCCCGGACTGGAGCGGAGTGATGAAGAGTTAAGTCTCCCGACGAGTGTCGGGACGAGGGCACGCTCTGCCTTCTAGTTTTAGCTCGTGCTCGGATCAGATGGCCCTTTTCGGGTTTATGTAGTACCACTTCTTTGCACTTCCGTACCTTCTGTGGCCCCCAGGTGTAATGCTGAAGTCCTGGCTAGAGTTCCTGAGGGTGAGAAGGCTGTGATGTGTCTTTAGGGAAATGTTTTGATAGCTTCTTTCAGACATGAGTTACAGTGCTGTTGACCACAAGTTCCATGTTGATGAAGCAACAATATATATTAACTAAGGTGTCTTTAACAGGCCGTAACACATAAAACAAGGTTGTGTATTGACTGCTTGACAAAAATGAAACCAGAAGCTCACAGGAACCTAAACCCTGTCTCACGGCAAATGGTTGTCTTGGTTAATTGAGTGTCCGTGGTTAATTTACCGACCATAAAACTTCCACAAGTAAGAGAGTCAACTACTTTTTAGTCTTCAAAGTCAAGTTGTCCTCGTGACTTTGGGGAAGGCTAAATGAATTCCCCCAAACCCGTTTCTCCACCAGTTCCCGTTCTGTCCACTTCCCTTTGATTTTTTAGTTTGCCGTTAGTAGTGTGACAGGGAAGCATGAAAAGTTTCTACCTAGGAACAGGAGAGTTTTTATGTTGCGAAGAGGTGAACAGTAGTCCAAAATGAACGTATTGGAGGAACTTGATCGTTCTAAGGCTGGAGTCGTTTGCTTTCTGGTACTTTTGATGAAGGAGAGAGTCTTAACTTTGGTATCAGTGAAAAAATAATGGCATGTTTAAGGTAAGTGAATAATTAGGTATCCGGTACTCAACATACTGTGGTCAAACTCAGTTCTGTACTCTCAGTTTGTAAAGTGCGCCAGCATTTTTATGATGGGCCATTTGAAAATGAAGCCATTGTCACAGAAGAGCCTGGATTTGAGGGGGACCTTGACTTACCTTCCTGAGGCTCTGCAGTTCGGAATTTCGGACCATTTTGTGCTGTTCTTTGAATGCCTCGGCCTGAATGTTCGTCTCTCATTACCCTGTGTGTAATTACCTGGTCCCCCCTCCAAAAGGAAATACTGGCGTGAAGTGAGAGAAGCAGTTCCTGAAGTGGGAAGCCCCAAGCTGCTGTAGGGTCTGCTCAGTAACGCAGGTCTCTGGGATTAAGGTTCGTCTATTGAAGAGCTGATTTTTGTTTTCACACAAGCAGATACAACTTCATAAACTGGGTGAGAGACTGTTGGATTTCTGTGTTCCAGTGGAAACAATGCTTTGGAATCGCTTTGAATCGTCAAGTTCTGTGATTTTCGTTAATCCTTCTGAGATTTCGTTTTCTTGGAGGTACGTTGGGAGGTGTAGGGGATTCTGTCTGTCCAGGAGGACTGGAAACCTGTGTTTTTCGCACGTGGGAGGAACTCCGTGAGTGGTAGTGACGCTACTTCTGTGGAGACGCAAGTTCGGGGCGGTGGATGAGTAATGGGGGTGCCGGGATGGGTCAGAAGGACTTTCATAACTTACCCCTTTGGGCTGTCTGTGGGCACATTGCAGAAGTCGTGGATGGCGTCTCTAGTTCTTGACCTGGTACCCACTTCAGTGACAGCTTCTTCCAGCCCCACTCATACTTCCAGTATTTCAGCCTCTGGCCTTTACTAGAAAGGTTGATCTGACGAAATCAGCTATTTTTACTTGTTGATTGATTAGTGAGAATGCATTCCTGTCATGTGTGTCTTCAGACACCAGTTACGAGTAAGAAACAAAGCCCCCTGTTCAGACATCAGCAGGTCAGCAGGGAGAAGGTGGAAGAGACAGGAAATCCCTGATAATACCCACGTTTGAGGGAGGCTTGGAAATTAAACTTGACTTCGTCCTTTCTGAGTAAGCAGCTGAGGGGAGGAGCATTAAGGGTGTCAGACTTCTCCAGGTGGTCCCAGCTTCTCTTGGGGAGAGGTGGGGGGCAATTCCTGGATCGTATGGGGAGGAGGTTTCTGGTTGGTGGCCCATAGCCAGCCCTGGCATTTCTCCTGCCTTGGTCCAGGCTCGCGTACCTGCTGGACCCATTCTTTCACTGTTCCACCGCCAAGCCCGCCCTTGTTTGCCCTTATGTTGTTACTGGATGCTAATTTTGACATACTTTGATATTATTTGTTGATGTTTACTTTTCAGATTGAAACATCCCTTGTATGACATTCTGAGCAGGTCCCTATGTGATTTTTGCCTCTTGTAAATGTTTCTGAAAAATTACCTTAGGACCGGTCAGTAGGGATAATTGTAATCAGATTGGGCCACAGTGATTGGAATATGAATACAAAGGGTGAAGTCTACTTTGAACCAGTTTGAGAGCTACCATTTTTTGGACTTTTTGTTTGTCTGCTTGTGAGATGTCAGGTATTTTATCTGGCTCGGGAATTATCCTTGTAGCTATAATAAAGATCTGGAGGTCAGCTAGGTGTCCATTTGATGTCCTTTAATTGTATTCGTTACAGTTAATACTCGCTCCTGGGAACCAGGCTTCCAAGCCTGCTCCGTATCCAGACTTCCCAGTGGGCTCAGCGGATGGTCTGTGGCCTTGATGAGCAGAGCTTCCTGGGCAAGAGGGAGCCAAGGCCGTGCACCGAGGAAGAAAGTTTAGTGGATCCCACTTCCTTTGCTCTTTTAGAATCATCCCGGGGCCGCACCTGTTTCACGCGTTCCCGCCCCAGGACCCCCAGCATGGATGGGGGCTGTGAGGAAGTAGTGGTCTGCACTCGAGTCCACCGCGGGCTGCAGGTGCTGTTCCTGAAAGTTGACCCGTCCAGCCCTTAGCTTGTCAAGCGAGCCTGGCCGGAGTCCAGGGCTGACCGTTCTGCTGGGCCGTTGGCTACGACGCTCTGCTCCCCGTGGGCCTCTATGCAGCCCTCCACTGTCTGCAGGATGGTCTGGAGTCTCCGATCCAGGGCAAGGAGGTGGGGCTCTGTGAGGACTGGGGTGAGCTGGTCTTCTAGCAGCGACTCCCGCATCACGTCACTGAGTCTGTAGTCGGCCTGGGCCAGCAGCTGCAGGTGCAAAAGTGTTTTCCTTTTTATTCTGAAAAGACAAAGCCATAGGAACCAAATAAGTAAATGTAAAGAAAAAAAACTTCCCCAAACTTGCTTCTTTCCCCGCAAACAGCTGTTCGCGCTGGTATTTTGAGAGCCTTCTCCCCTAGTGTCTTCAATGAAAACCAGGTAAAAAGGGACTGAATGAAAGGTGACATCCTTTGCCTGGTCATCTTTTTGGTCAAGAGCGTCCCGATCTCTTTTGTACTGTGACATCTGTAATGCCACACAGTGGGGCTACTGGAGCGACGCAGCTGACGTTTCTAAGGGAATCCAAACAGAAGTGATGTTTAATGACTTTTCAAGGAGACAAAGCTAATGAGAGGCGTTCCCAGGAGTTGGAACGATGATGTCTGTCACCTCAACACCTGTAGGTACTGACGGGCTCCAGGCTGTTCCTGGCCAACTTTATAATTCTGCTCTGCGTCAAGACTCCAAAATCGGGGATGCGAATGGGACAGGACCATCCTGGACTTTCAGGTTTTGATTTCTTTTTATGTGGGAATCTGACTCGGGCTCAGATGGGCAAGCAGCTTAATTGTCCCAACTTTTGTCATAAA